AATTTCCATTTTTGGTGGATTTGCGGGTTTGGGGCTTATTGGGAACTATTTGCTAGGGGGGGGGGTTGTTTTACATGGAAATTTGCAGGTAAAATGGAGGTCGACCCACATTCCACTGCAAAATTTCCACTTTTGGTGGATTTGGGGGTTTGGGGCTTATTGGGAACTATTTGCTAGGGGGGGTGGTTGTTTTACATGGAAATTTACAGGTAAAATGGAGGTCGACCCACATTCCACTGCAAAATTTCCATTTTTGGTAGATTTGCGGGTTTGGGGCTTATTGGGAACTATTATTTGCTAGGGGGGGGGGTTGTTTTACATGGAAATTTGCAGGTAAAATGGAGGTCGACCCACATTCCACTGCAAAATTTCCATTTTTGGTGGATTTGGGGGTTTGGGGCTTATTGGGAACTATTTGCTAGGGGGGGGTTGTTTTACATGGAAATTTACAGGTAAAATGGAGGTCGACCCACATTCCACTGCAAAATTTGAATTTTTGGTGGATTTGGGGGTTTGGGGCTTATTGGGAACTATTTGCTAGGGGGGGGGTTGTTTTACATGGAAATTTACAGGTAAAATGGAGGTCGACCCACATTCCACTGCAAAATTTCAATTTTTGGTGGATTTGCGGGATTGGTGCTTATTGGGAACTATTTTTTACATGGAAATTTACCGCAGTAGGGGGGGGTTCGGTTCTGCAGTTTTGGTGGGTGTGCGGTGGGGCTCGTTGTTTTGAGTCGGTGCTTGCGGGTGGGAAGCGGGGGGTTGGCCCGGCTGCTGTTCCTGAGCTTTTTTGTCGGCTCCGTATATTTGTTTTGGCAGGTTCCCGTTTTTGTGGTTTTTGGGCGTTGTCGCGGGTGATTTTAGGGGGTGGAAAATTGAAGGGGAAATCCTTGTTCCGGCATCCCCAGTAATTAGTTACAATATGGAAACATGTCAAGGCTCAAAAAATCGGTCCTGTTCCAATGGCCAAGGAATTCACCGCGCCGCCGTGCCACATCCTCCCGAGCGGTGTTACCCAAATTTTATTCACCCCGCTTCGCGTGGGGTGGCCGCCCACACCGCAAGTTTATTTCGGTCCGTGAGAGGGGCTAAGGGTGGTTTTCCCCCGTGGGGGCTCCCCAAGCTAGGGAATTTTCACTTTTCCCCCCCGTGGGGGCTCCCCAAGCTAGGGAATTTTCACTTTTCCCCCCCGTGGGGGCTCCCCAAGCTAGGGAATTTTCACTTTTCCCCCCGTGGGGGCTCCCCAAGCTAGGGAATTTTCACTTTTCCCCCCCGTGGGGGCTCCCCAAGCTAGGGAATTTTCACTTTCCCCCCCGTGGGGGCTTCCCAAGCTAGGGAATTTTCACTTTTCCCCGCCGTGACAGCTTCCCAAGCTATGGAATTTTCACTTTTCCCTCCCTTGGAGGCTCTCCAAGCTGCGGAATTTCAAATAGCTAGACAACGACGCCTAGATAGTCCCCCAAATCCCGTGTTCTTTGAATGTGTTTCCGTGTTTTTGCAACGGTTTCCTTCAAAGCACGGTACTTTACACTTTTGTCGCCATAAAACCGGTCGAAAACATCATGTTCGACAATGCTTCCAATTCCCTTATCTCCCCAACCGTTGAAAATACCGAAATTTACAGTAAAAGGAGGCCGACCCATTTTCCATGCAAAATGCCACTCCAACATATTTGGGGGTTTGGGGCCATTGGGAACATTTGCAGGGGGGGTTGTTTTAATGTCAATTTCAGGTAACGGGAGGTCGACCAATTAACCAAAATTCCATTTCAAATACCCTCTTGCGCAATCAGACAGTTTTTTTCGGCAAAAATCCTCGAAAAATGTCGAAAACACCCCCGTATTCTGGTCTCGGTGCGAAACGTTTTTGGCCCCCCCCCCCCAGCTAAAGCTGATATAGCGACTGCTATATTAACAAATGTCATTGAGCATTTAGTGTTGCTGTTGCCCCCCAATAAGCACGCCTTCACCGCCAAAGCGGTGTGGGCGGATTTTTCAAACATAGTTTCCTGATATTTCATTCTGTTCTTTGCCTAATGGAATTGGCTACCCAAGAATCAAGATCTTGATTTTTGATTGGGATGATATTTGTTCTGATAGTTACGTGGGGATTCGTACATAGAATAAGGGGATTTCTGCATTGGAAACCACTAAGCGTTGGGCATTGGGATGTGATGTAGTAGGGGGTTAGCGTTTGAAAAATATCAATAAACAAATATATATATATATATACAATCAACAAAATGGTAGTCAAGGGGTGAGCCATGCAAAGATTTGGTTGAGAAGTTCTAAGGAGTAACTTGGGGAAGCTATGAACTCATATTTTATTTCCGGTATGCCACATCCAGCATGGGCGCAGGTAGACGGCCCAGGCCCTGATTTGGAGGAGCTGTTAGACAGAGAGATCGAATCAGAATCCAAACCAGCCAAGAAGAAAGGACGCCTAGTCTTTAAGTGATTGATGATTCGCTTAGAGATTAGATTCCGTTTTGCAGCTTTCCATACATAAATTTTCAGTAATGGTGCTGGGAGGATATATCAAATTTCAGGAAAACGGTTCCCGTTTGAGTGGCAAAGTGGCTCCTTGCCAAACCCAAGTTGAAATAGCCGCGCCAGCGAACTCTTTGTTCAGGGCGGCCTTCGTCAGGGGTGAGCTTGCAGTGTATGGCACATGTTCAAAGCCATTAGCAAAAAAAGTTAATTTCAAATCAGAAGAGTTTTCTGGGAGCAACCCCTTGCCATGCAAAGATACATTTTCCTGCTCGGCTCCCGGATCAAATGAGTTGAATCTTTTATTGATTATATATTTCAAATTTCCAAATGGGGAGAGCACATTTTAGACAATGAATATTGCATCCTGTCTAGAGCTGACTGGGGGCCCAGCATGGCGACTCAGTACAGTACTGCACACTGACATGGGGCAGTAAATCCAATTTCAAGACCAGGCGGATGCCGGAAAAAATCGATGCAACCATGTACGGAACCAGCAATTTATGTAATTAAGTAGTTTTGCGAGCACATCATTCTCCAGAGCTGTTCAAACTAAAACAGCTGGTGTCATCATGGATCATCATGGGGTTTTTGGCCCATGCACATGCTTTGGTTTTCACACATGTTGTTTCGTTGCAGAGTCCGACACAAGTATGTGAATTTGGTGTTCAGCATTTCTGGCTCGCGCCTGCTTTAAACATCGGTTGGAGCTACTTCGTGTGCGATTCAGTGCAGCTTCGCGGATGACTGCAAATGGTTCCGATCAAACTTCCAAAGTCTTGGGCACATACCGTGATGCCACTTCGCCCAGCTCGGTTTCCTCGCCTGCTCTGCTCTCGCGAGTTACATCACCAGCTTTGACGAAGGAAAGTGTGTCTCCTGGCAAAAATGCTGGAAGCCCATCGGTTTCTGATTCAGTGCAGAGCGCGTTTGCAAACATGTCGCTGATCACCCCTCCCAGGAAAAAAAAAATCTGGGTCACACCAAACAACACGCCATGTTCTGAGAAGACTGGTCGTGTCAGGATGGGGCGAGATAGCCCAGTTGAACTTGGTCTTTTGAAGTCTAAGGGCAACGAAACCGTCAGCAGTGGCGTGGAGGCTGTGGGGACGCCACCATCAAGTGAGCAGAAATTACTCTTGACATCCCAGGCCCTGAAGAATCATTTGAATCTCATGATGAAGACTCCAGAAGATTCGAAGACATGTGTGACAACTCCACCCGCGCCAGTTCGTCACAAGCGTTGCTCCCAGGCAGGCAGGGAGCAGAGATTGATCAAAACAAATTGATCGAAACAAATCAATAGACTTTCAAAGGTGACAATGGCTGTCATCCATGTCCATTGTTTTTTCTTGGGGTTCTCTTGTCCCAAATTAGGGTGTTTCTCCGCTATCAAATCCTCCACATAGCGTTGCAGGAAGTCCCACAAACATCTGTTATATGTTGAAATAGGATATTTCATGGGCCATTATTGTATGTTATAGTGGGATTTGATTTATCAAACAACATCAAATGCCATAAATGATAAATTCGGTATACAAGTTTGATCTTATCACCTATCATTATAACAATCTTCCCAGCGAATGTGCGGGCCTTGACAAACCCATTCCCGAAGCTTTCAAGGGAATTGGGGAACCATGGGTTTGAATAGGATACGTATAATATATATATATATATATTGATTTTTATGATCTTTATATAAATATATGAACTCTGATATGTCGGTTTGATTTGATATGTCGGCCTAGTCATCTGATCTGTGCTCCAGGAAATGTTGGCCTCGCCGCCAGATCCTCCCGCTCCTCATCCTCGTGGCCGCGACATTGATACAGTTTCCACTATTGCGCTTTCCCCTGCAAGCATTCGATCATCTCCTGAGTGCGCAGTGCAAAGTAAGCGGGTAAAACTTTTTTGTGAGTAGATTAGATTCTTTGAGGAAGAATCAATCAGTTCTGAATGTTTGCAAATCATTTTGGTTTGCCACAGTTCAACTATGAGTAGTTGATGCAGAATCATCATGGCAGCTAGTTGGTCATGGCCGATACTTCTTGAAAGATTGGCTGGCTTGTCGCATGGCACAACTCGGGCATCGAAAAAAATCCGGGCCGTTTGCACATCAAACTGCTCCAAGCATGATCAGCATCTCAGCATCTCAGCCAGATATTCCCGATTAGATCAGCGCGCCAAGGTTCTCAAAAAGGTCTTTGCTGAGCAACTGGATGGCAGTTCCGCTTGGAGGAATCTCGGTTGAACAGTGCTTGACACCAAATCAAAAATTGCAAAACCTTTGGGCAGCACAACACTCTGATTGAAGCCAAGGCCGCGTTTAAGCAAGAAGGATTCGAACCTTTACTTTGCTTCTCGGCCAGCTGTCACCATGAATTAGCGGGGAAAAACCTTTGTTCTTAGTTCTTAGAGCTGTTAGGAACGGCATTCGGTCAGTGGACATGGGCCTTCGTTATTGAATCCGTCTCTTTTTCTTAGGTGGTTTTGAAAACCATCAACCACATGCTGAATATCATGACGGGCAACGACTTAGCAGCGTTTGCCGTGCCTGAAGAATCCGTTTTGAAACCGGGCGTTGATCTTCGAACTGCCAAGATCACCCCAGTTGAGGACATGATGATCTTAAAAATGGTTCCTTTGGCTTTGAGCTTGAAGCCAAATCCTTTGGTTTAGAGCTGCTGTTACCAACCAAGATCTAGAATGATTGATACTGTTTTTATTCAGGCACATTGGGACTCGCGTGACGCGTCATCACCAAAATCATATACGCTTGGCTGAAGAATCCTTCCAGTGGCAAATTGAGTTTTCAAGCAACCAAACGTTACAGGCTCTGCCATGGACACCGAAGCTGATCAAAACTTAAAACCACCCATTTTGTTTTCAGAAGCGATATGCAGCTCTTATTATTGAGCCACACGTCCGCACCAGCGCTCCCGAAGCTGGTTACTTATTTCAATTTTGGGGTTAGACAAGTCCATTGCTCGCGACTTTCTGCAAGTGTCAGTAAAACATGAAGAAAGCGGGTGGTGTTATACCATGGTTTCATACTGACGGAAGAAAACAGCTTTATAAAGCCACCCATATACTTACTCATTTCCCATGGCCTCCAAAGCCACAAAAACAACCCCCCAAAAAGACAGACAAATAACTTTTGAACAGCTTGAGCTAGCGGGGCTGAAGTTTTTTCATTACCTTTGTCCACAAGCAGCAAGGGCTTACCCCGTTCTTTCTCTCTGCTAAGGTTGGGGACGATGAAGGTGTTCAACACAAGGCGTTTCATTACGCATTCGAACGACTACACGTGAGGGGCCTCGCTGAAAGCGAGGTTTCTCATCCTTCTTGGAACGCTTTCAAAAAAGCTGTTTCTCGTTCAAGACTGACCATAGCGATGATGAAGCTCACCTTGTGCTGCATCTTGAATGAGCAGTGGTTTGATTTGTTTTGGGTGGGCCCCAGCAATGATTTCCAAAATCAACCAAACAAATCACCCCATTTTGTCCCTGCAATTGAGTCCAAGAAACGCTGTTGCCTTATGCAATTCTCAGGTAACTTCGACCACGGTGCTTGGAAGAGCGGGGATCGTCTTGAGGCAAAACGCGACAGCTTTGAAGTCTACCTGAGCACAAAAGGCTCTGACTACTTTGAGGAATTTGCTGAGTTGGTGGCTCACGACCGCAATGAAGCCTTTGACCCTGATCACCACCCTGCCGAATGCATGTCTGAGTGGATGTCCAGCAAAGCTCTGAGAAACAGAGGGCTCTACGCCACTTGTCAGTATTTGGAACCGGTATAATATACATTTTTCTTCCCCGAATTGTTTGAAACTGGAATTGAACGATTGCCCGCTCCCATGGTTTTTCAGCTTGAGGTGAAAACAAAGGCTTGGTTTGGCTTTCACGCTGCACTCAGAGATCTGATTGCTGATTGGACAATTCAGCTGGAGGCTTTGAGAGCGCTCAATCAACGAGTGGAACCTTGGTCTGATTATGTTTAACTTAAAGGCAGGTGAGGGTCTCTAGATGATGACACAACATCCCACCCACTCCTTTCCTTCTTCATTCCTTGACACCTGTGCACGTTTTCATCAACAACTGCAAGTTTCATCTGAACCGCGTCTTCTCTGTGATTGTCGCTGTTTTGATTGTGCACATGGTTGAGTTTCGCCGATATATTGTCTAGGAGAAAACTGCTGCCGTGAAGAATTACACAGGGGATCATTTAAAGCTTAAGCAACACATTTTTTTCTAAATATGCATTTTTGGGGTTTTATCGAAAACAAAAAGCTTCTGAGGAGAACGATCAGTGCGAAGATCTTCATGTTGAGAGGGATCGGGACAGGGAGGAAGAGGAGTTTGATGGTGATGTGGAAAGGCAGGAGCCTCGCACCAAGAGTGAACTCTATGCCATCTTCGGGAAGAATGGACCAACTGCAATGGTACTGGGGTTTATGGAAGACCGCAAGCTGCAAAGCATTGCGCGTATTTTCGTTGAAATTACAAGTCCACTGGAAATGTCCTACTATGAGACCCTCGAAGCTTTGAGCAAAGGGTGGAATGAACAATCTAGGTGGGTGAGCACAAGAGCCTCGGGCAGTTGGTACCAAGTAGTCAGTGGCATATTGGGTGTGTTGGAAACGTCCGTTTTCCAAGACAGGCTTCATTTCACAAAACCGCTAAAGCCAGTGGCTTTGGAGGAGGGTGTGCCTGAGTGGGCACAGGGTGAGATGGAGTTGCTGGAACTGGCATTTGACTTTGCTGAATGCTTGGCAGAAAACGTTCTGTGGAGCAATGCTCGCTACTGGTGGAGCATACCTGAATTGCTGGCCACACTGTTACACTCCGAGCGGGGTGTGCGAAAAGCTGGAATGCAGCAAATGAAAACGATAGTCGAGGCAGTTTTGGCAGCAGAGGCTCATCAGTCAAGACAAAAGGAGTGGGCAGAGGTTCTTGCTGATTTGGGCTGGCAGAAACAACAACTGCCACGAGAGGCTATGGCCCTTCTTCTCCAATGTGAGTTTGCACTGTCTGATGTGAAGCTTCGAAAACTCAGCTCCAGACTGTTTGTTGGCTCACCGTCCACCAAGGACACACTGGAGAATTGCTTTGCTTTTTTACACCGCAAGGCGGCAACCCACAGCACGAACGCCAAGATGTCTGATGCTTGCAAGTACACATATGCCATTATTTCACCTTACTCTGAAAGCGGCGGGGCACCCCAAGTACTTCCCAGTGCTCAGGATTTCACTACGATGCTTTCACCCCAAGGACAAGAAATGAGAGACTGGTTGAATCACCATCTATTCAGTCCGCAGAGATCACTTTTCCCTTCAGGCAGGAAGCCAACATTGCAATCTGCAAGTGAGATTTATGAATCCAAATGGAGGAGTTCTGGGGTTCAGGCACAACAGCGGTCTGCAGCAGCAGCTGCTTATTTGGTCGCTGATGCTGCAAACAACTTCAGTCATGTGGACGATTGTTGGATCGGCTTCTTGGCAAAAGACAGTGTGAAAGTTGCCAAAAGACATTGACTGACGGACATCTTTGAAAAAAAGAAAGTGCAAGTTAGCTCAACATCATGGATGTGGCTGTTACATTTTTAATCTCCAGCTTTTTTTTGCCGACTTGCAGTTTGCAGTACCGCTTGTTTATGTTTTCGAGCTGAGGTAGTCTCTTCGTTCCCGGAAAGGTCTACTTCAATGCAAGTCTCGATGTGTGCACGCTTTGCTTGGGGAACCGGAAGTGGACCACTGCTGGCTTCCCATTGAAACGGATCAGGATTGAAGACGAGGACTACTGCTACATGCACCTGACAGCTACAATGCACCTGATATATTTCATATTTATGTGTATATATAAACACCTACCAAAAAAACACACACACACATTTTTATTTATATATTCATATGTCATAGGTATATATATATATACTCATCTAAAACTATATGTTCCTTGAATATCTCTGAAGCAATGTTCTTTATGTGCTGAAAGAGGTTGGACTGCAAATCTGGTCATTAAACATGTTCCCCCAGAAGGCAATCAAAGGGTTTTGGATTCTGAAATTTTGGGGTCCTTTATAAGAGAGGATATGTTGTACAATTATATAATGATATATTCTACACTGCTAAAACAATAGAATCATGTTTCTCCAGTTCTTCTCCCGTTCTTGCTTTCTTCCAGGAGTTTCTGATCTTGGAGAAAGAGGTGAGAGATATTCCAGCCCAAACACTTGTTTGGATGATGAATTGGAAAGTATTTGAATCAGACTGGGTGTTCCTTCCAGTTCGGCTTCTGGTTCGTGGGTTGTTGCCTGAGCCCATCTTGAATCTGGGTACATGCTTTGCTTTTCACATCATGGATCCTGGCGGGCAGCCTCTGCTAGAGTCTGCAGTTCGCTCTGGTTGTTGGATCTCTTTGGCAAACCTTCAATCTTTGTTTGCTGCATTGGGTCTGAACAAACCTACCAGAGGATCCGGAAAACGCTTGGCCAATGGTAGCAAAAGCATATTGAAAGTAGACTGGGCAAGAATGTTGGTTCAGCATCTTTTCCCCGGTGAAGAAGATGAAGCTGAGATCAAAAGAATGATTGCCGGCATCACGCATCGGTCAACCAAAAACCTGTCCGATGATGAAACCAAAATTCTTGACATGGTGTCCGAATTGGACGAGGAGAATAGAAATTGCCCTGAGTTCAAAAAGATCGCAAAACTTGCAAAGCAGCAATCTACAGAGAAAACAGAGACAAAAGCGCGAGCACAAGTGTTCGCAGAGATTCGCGAGGAAGAAGAGGCCAGGAAAAAAGAGGAGGAAGAGGAGAAGCAGCGAATTGAAGAAGAGAGACAGAAGGAGAGGGCTAAGATAGAAAAAGCAGCCCTTGAAGCTTCTGAAAGAGAGCGTGCAAAGCCATCTGCGGCAGCTTCTTCTGGCAGTGGAACCCGCAAACCAAGCACTACACCAAAAGCTTTGAAGGATTTTCTCACCCAGGCTATGCAGGATGATGGTATTACTTTGAATCGGGAACCGGGATCCTATGGTTACCGTGCAACTTACAGTCGTTCTGCACCAGGTCTGCAAAAGAATTTTCAGAGAAAATGGGGTACATCGGCAAACCCCCGCGAAGAAGATGCTTTGCTTACTGTCCTGGGATTTATTTATGCACGATGGAACGCGGACCACAAGTCCAGAGTGAACCTGCTGCTTGGCTTATGCGGGGAGTTGCTGTTTTCTGTGATGTTGGGCATTACATAGTACAAGGACACATCCCACCAAAGTTATTTTCAATGGGCATTTAAATTTAACGATCTGGAAGCCCCAAGAAAGTCTAATCACCAAAACAAGACGTGGATGGAAGAAATCCTGCACTGCCCGGGATGGTAGAAAGCCTAATACATACATAATCGGATAAACCGCTTATTATTTAACTGGTGCAGGATTTCTTCCATCCACGGTAGGATGATTTTGTTTATTGTCGTTGATATAGATTATTTCCTCATGTCCAAGGAAAATTTGGTTGTCATTCATTACTAATCCCAATAATGCCCTTTATCAATGAAATAAGTTTGGAAAAACTCCACTTGTCTTATCTCAATTTTTGCAGTGGTGACAAATATTCCCATTGGTTTTCTACTTTTTTGGTCATTATTTTTACACAGTCAAAGTCAAGATTCCTTCAAGGTCAAACCCTCCGACCGCTAAATGCTGCCCAAAGGCCCTCTTTGAAAGATGCCCAAGACTTTGTGGCCAGCAACTCCAAGTGAGATCCGCCATGCCGAGTCTCTTCATTCAGCGTGGCTGGGAAGTTTCACTTTAATATATACCAATGTTTTGTCACACAAATATCCCAAAGTCTCCGCTATCATCTCAATGATATGTAACTATGTGAGTTGTTTTTTCAAGCTAACAAGAACCGACAATCCGGAATTACTGACAAGTGTCACACAATTCTGCGCTGGAACCTGAAACTTGGGATCCAGAAACCATAATTGTGCGCTGGAACCTGAAACTTGGGATCCAGAAACTCCGCAAACCAAGGTCTGAGTCTTTCAAAAGATTCCTGCATCATTCAAAATACCATTTTTTTGAGTTTGTCAGTTTATCTTTTTCATTTTTCAACTGTTTATAACGGTGTGCCAATCACTTGGCGAAGCCACGACAGTGCCGGAATCTGAATTTGGGAGCCCAGTTTCGTCGCAAGACTGCTGAGCAGAAGCGCGAAAAGGAAAGAGACATTATTTGTGCAGTGAGCTTATTGGGAACTTCTTGCTAGGGGGGGTTCAAGGGGGGGGGGTTTGAGCATCTGTGATCTATCCATCCATCCATACATACATACATGCATGCACTATTTATAATTATATATAAATATTTTACCCATTTGATACCCATGGATCCTGGCAATTGTGTTGTGGCGTAGTCACCAGACGCCAGGCATGCCATCCTTTAACCACGGAACTCCGGCGCTGGGAGAGGCTGGCCAAGGTGCGCAAGGTGCGTCGAGGCTGTTTCCAGGAGAAATTGGGATTGAAAGATAGAAATCAATGGATGTACCCTCTGGTAAACATACAAAAAACTATTGAAAATTGCCATTTATAGTGAGTTTTCCCATAAAAAAATGGTGATTTTCCAGTTCGCTATGTTAGTTTACCAGAGGGTAGTGGTTTGATATGGTTCAATAATGTTCAATACGGTTTAAATTATATAATTGATGAATAAAGATGAAACCATGATGAAACATGATGGATACTGATGGATAATCATGGATAACAAAAAAATATACCATCCCCAGAAGAGGTTTATCAAATTGGACATTGGACATGCCGCTTTTTCAATGAAACATGAAGCAGTTCCTGCAAGCAGTGTGGCCAGTCTACCATGAAACCATGGAGAGAGTATCCAGCACGAAACAGTTCCTGGAAAGGGCCCAATGTGGTAAAACCATGGTAAAACCAATGAAATAAAAAGTCCCCAATAGAGGTTTGCTATTGGGTATACCCCTAGAAATGGGATGTTTAGTGTATAACTATGAGCTCCAAATGGTTGGTTTATGGGGTGGTTTATTTATGGCATTGGGTTTACCACATTAGGGTGTAGCAATCTTATTTGGGTGGTCTGAAAATGGGGAGTACGACCAGAAAATTTGGATTTGAACAGGGCATATGATGGACTTTAAGATGGTTTAGGAGTTTAGGATAGTTGAGGGATGTTTTAGGATTATTGATATAGGGGTATCTTATTTGGGGGCAAATCCATGAGGTCCCGTTTCTTGGCTGATGGCAGGTCACAGAGAGAGGTGAGATCAATGAGGTTGGGGCTGGAAAACGGCTGGCTGGTGGTTCCAGATTCGTTTTTTTTTTTTAACCAGTTACCCTCTGGTAAACTAACATAGCTATTGAAAATTGCACCTTTATAGTTGATTTACCTATTAAAGATGATGAGTTTCCATAGCTATGTTGGTTGACCAGAGGGTAACTACAAGTTCTGTTTCTCCCATATAGTGATGATTCCATATTATTGCAAGGATAAATGGTACCCTGCATGTTATAGGCAACCATATAGGGGTCCTGTTATCAATACGCGGTTGAAATGAATCCCATCCCTGAAGAAAGTGTTTCCTTCTGTATTGGAGGTTTCTTGAAGAACTTGAGGACCTTACTAAAAACTGAGAAACATAGCCACCAAGACCAGCGCTACCATGCATGATTTATCGGAGTAGGCAGATATATTTTGGAATGGGAGGCCCGTGCATAGCCAAAGACACAAGAGTGATGAAGAGTGGTAGCACACATGACGTGACGTTCTCAGAAGTCCACTTCCCTCAAAGAAATGGCTGTCATGTACTGTAGTCCCCTGTGCGCTTTTAGGCAACTGAAACGGAGGCAATGTGCCACATTGGTTTGTCTGAAACTAGGGTATTCCAAAATCGGAATTCCCAACGGATGATTATCATTTGCATGCCTTTTCCCCCTTGAAAATTGACCAAATTGATATGTTTTAATTAACCATTTTTAACCCCAAGATATTCACAGACGCAGCCGCAGGACATCCAGGCCTCAATGGCTCAAAGCCGCAAGATGTGTCAGGCAGGCGTCAGACCCAAACCCGTTTTCGCTGGCGGCTTGGCGCGGGGCCCAAGGGGCGCTAGAAACGGGCCGCCCCTCGGGGCCGCTAAATCGGCGGGGGGCGCAGAGGTTCGTTTCGTGGTGACTGAGGTGAACTTCCCAAAGTATATGCTCATCAACAACTGCAGCTTGGCATTGCGATGATCCATTTGTGGCTTACTGCCTTGATCCATCTTGATCCACTGGGCCAACGAGATATATCATGATATATCTATAGATTTTTATAGATATTTACATATGTCTTATATGGACCTGGAAAGGTTGCGATAGGTTACGGATGGTTACGGCTTCGATGTTTTTGTTGACTTTGGGGATCATCTTCGCAGCTGCACCCAGATACTCTTGGTATTACTTGACAGCTGTCGTGAACTCTGAATGGCGATCCCCACGCGAAGATCATTGAAACGGGTGTGCTATGTTATGTGGGCAGTGCCTCAAGATGTTCTCTTCCAGGAGCCTGACCCGCCAATTTGAACAATCCCATTGCCATGTTTGATTCCGGGTTAAATTGCACATCAATGCGACTTCAACCCTCAAGATTGGATGAAACAACAATTACAGGACACATCAGGACACCGTTTTTGTTCGATCAATGAACCATGGTGAAAATAGTATATATATATATATACTATTATATACTACAGACCACACATCATGAACACACCATGGTTTCCCTAAAGCTCCCTTATTAAGGCTGCCACCCAAACACCCGACCCACTAACTAAGCAAATGATCCCATGTATGGGTTTAATGGTTTCAGAAAGTCAACCCCAAATTAATTGCAATTCCTTTTAATCCAATGAATTAAATCACAGCCAGTCCCACCTTTGCCGGGGAACGGTGCAACGCCACAGGCCACCTGAAACAGATGGACCTGCAACGCTACGCCGACCGATGTGCGGAGGAGGTCCGGCTTCGTTGCGAAAAAAACCGCCGCGCAAATGGCGATTCAATGGTGATATCTTGGGATGTTTATAATGGTGATACAATCCCAATCAGATATTTTGGGGGTACCCACATTCAATCAGATAAGGATCTGAATCGATCTGAATCAATTACAACGGACCTATCGTAGGTAAATCAATGTGCAGACAATTACTTACGTCGTCATTTCAATTTTTCTTTGAAGCGTTTATCACCACCCATTGTATCCGGGGTGTTGGGAGCAGCCCTGATGAACATGTATGAATTGAGTTATCATCCACCCACAGTGGATAGTGAAGCTAAATAAGGGACCACTGCTAATGATTGATAATCTGAGTGCTGACTTACTGTAGTGGGTTTGAGGATAACCAAAGGTATGAGTCAAGAACTGTAAAGGCCCAGGGAACCTTAAAGGGTCTCTGCAACAACTTGACTCATCAGCATTTGGACAAAACTGTCCCACTTAGCGATAATGACTGCATCTCCTTCCCTCTAAAAGTGGGCTATTGATGTGGTGGCAAAAATGTGGCACGTGGAATTCATGTTTCATCCCTATTTGGGATCATGACGCCAACTGAACTTCCTGCTTTTCAAGCCGGTTGAAGCCGGTTGAAAACCCACCAGCCACTGCCACGGTCCAGGTCGAGCAGTCCATGAAGGAGCCACCTGACGGCTCGATGATGGGCCGTTTGGGTGAAGCCAGTCCTAGCAGCACCGTGAGGCCCGAGGGCGAGGTTGAGACCTTGGAAAAGGCACATGGAACAAATTGGTTTATATGATATAAAAGTAAGTGAATAAATAAATAGATAATTATATATATATATGTGTTATAACATATATATATTAATATATATATAATATATATATATATCACACACACACATATATGCATATATATGTATGTGTGTGTGATGTTGGAACAGGGTTGGATGATTTTAGGATGGAGCATGTCGTTATGGTGGTTGAAACCTGGAGGCTTTCGAATCTTTAGATTGTGGGGGTGTATTCCAAAAGTGCCGAGGTGGGGTTGAGATGGCTTGAGCCTCTTCCAGCCTGCAACTTCGCCCCCATTCTTGTATTGTTCCTCTCGAATTGGGGCAATTTATCATGAATTACCCAATTTCCAAGTTTGCTGAAGGGTTCAATTGCCCATGATTTACGATGTTTTGCCATGATCTACCACGAGTTGTAAGGTTGATTTACCGCATGATTTACCGTTTTCCGAATGGTTTGACACGGTTTTTTGACATCGAAAAAGGTCTTCAACTGATCACCTTTTCCACTGCCAGGGTGGAGAAGGAAGCGTCTTGGGGAGCTCCCAAGCTCAAGAACCAGGATCAGGTTGGCGATTTCGTCCCCGAAAAGGGCTCCAGCATTGAAGACACATGGTGGCTTCATGGTGGCTTCATGTGGCTTTGAAACCATGAATTACGTAGATCAAAAAGGGATGAGGATGACAATGACGATGACGATGACGATGACGATGATGATGATGATGATGATGATGGTGATGGTGATGATGATGATGATGATGGTGATGGTGATGGTGATGATGATGATGATGGTGATGATGATGATGATGGTGATGGTGATGGTGATGTTGATGGTGATGGTGATGATGAAGATGATGATGATGATATTAACGTGCATCTATCAAGCAGCACATGACTTCCTTTTCTCTGCTGTTTGCCCTTGGATGATCTTTGATGTTTTTTGTTCCCATAAACTACTTGATTGATTTCAGTTTTTTTTGTAGATTTACTAGTGCATATTCTTGTTTGTGATTTTGTTTTTGCTTGTTCTATTGTTTTTTCCTGATTGTATACAGTCTTCCCTTTGCATTACCACAATTGGGACAAGTTGTTTTCTTATTTTCTCAAACGTTCAGGTACCTCCCATATATATATAAGGCCTATGCAATGGGATATGTCGCAAGAATATGGCTTTATATGATACAGTACAGGTTTGTCAGTGTCCTGAAAATTCCATTGATGTAAGATCATATGTTGTTTTACCAAATCGAATTTGACATTTGGAATCCAAACAGGCTGTGGCGCTACTGATGTCTTTAAATTTATATCAAGAATATATATATATATATGTGTGTGTGTGAATATTATAAAAACAAAACTCGAAAATATGTCAAGACATCCATCATTATCCCTCCTCTAAACGTTTAAAAAGATAAGGACACCCCAACCATTTGCAGATAATGTTCCGAAGCCAAGATTTTCCACTCATTTTGGTATAATTCTGTCACACACACATAATATATATATAATATGTATACATCTTTATAATATATATATATATATTTATATATATAAATATGCTGTAAACCATTGTTTACCCCAGGGTAAGCTGAACATCTCCTACCGGATCCCCTGATTTCGTTTCGCGCCAGGATACCGAGCCGCTCTGCGCTGGGAACTGCATGCCCTCGGGCCGCGCGTCGCGCACCTCCGCGTGGCTGCGCATGGGATAGGCGCCAGAGGGATGGAGGGATGGGGTGCCAATGCCACAGAGAAAGTATGGACATAAACTGCTAGGAATATAGTAACTGGTTGGTGGTTGAGCCCTACCCCTCTGAAAAATATGAAAGTCAGTTGGGATGATTATTCCCAATATATGGAAAAATAAACAATGTTCCAAAGCATCCCCAGGTCACCATGAAAACATGGGTGTAAAAGATGTGCTATAAAATATCATCCCCAGATATCCCCAGGTTTATGGCATTGGGTTTATGGCATGGGGTCGCCCACATTATAGTTTATAATGGAGTTACTGTAGTTAATAAATGTTAATAATCTAGCTACTGTAGCTACTGCTGTTTTATAGTTATGACTCAGTTTGTCTAATGTTGGTTAATTTTGTATAGTATACTTATATACTGTACTTTATAATGTGGTATTTAAAGGATAACCCTGACCCACCAGTTGGGGTTCTTTTTACATTAACCACTTATGGTAATGTTTGACGGATGGTTGACAATTGGGTTTACTACCATAGAATATTCAGTATGAGTTCTTATGAGTTTATGATTATTTGATCAATGATGTTCATCAATGATTATTTTGGTTCTTGGCTATAACTATAATATTACTATAATTTGATTATGATATAATAGTTCTATAAACTATTGATCAAATAGTAAATAACTATAATAACTATAATACTACAATATACCAGTGATGGGTGTACCCCTAACTTGACTGTGGATAGGACTCGCGGATGGGTTTCTTGTGGTTTTTCTGCACGTTGAAATATGTAGTTATCTCAATTGACGTGGTATGTGAAGCCCATCCCCCCATCCCCTAAGCACTTCCGAACCTATGTTGTTTTTTGACGTTTATGAATTTGTGTATTATTGGCGGGAGTGGAGTGAGAATATCGAAATAAGTGAAGCGGAAAATGAACACTTTGGAAAGGCAGTGACCTACAGTTGCGATGCGAAGATCATCTATCGCATTTGCGAGCACTGCTTCAATCTGCCAACTAATTGTAATCGCCACATGTCGCAACCACTATCCATGCTAGTATGCGATGCCTCAAGGGGTTATATATATATATAACTACTATCACTACTATCGACTATATTAGACTTTCATAATGCTACAGGGTGCTATAGGTATGAACCTCCGGAACCTAACGTGTTGCCCCGGTCCAATTCATTCCGAGCATTGTGTTGTGCAGGAACCCACCGCTGATTTCTTGTGCTTTCGCTGCTTTCGGTGCTCGGAACGAGGACCAATTTGGACGCCACCCAGCCAGATTTCTTGTGCGACCTGAAGTGTTGTCCAGTTTTCCTGCCTGCTGTGAGCTTGCAAACTTTCACGGTTAGGGATTGAAACCGAGTGACCCAACTAATTTCGAGGATCATCCCACCTAGTGAGCAGATAGTGACAATGCTTAGTACGTCAGTTACGCTGATTTTCCAGCTGGTCCTCCCAAAATTGGAAGAAACACATCAAAAAGAATTATTTACAGCACCTCCCCTATGTTTCACGATCAAAACAGGATGGTTTTCCGTGTTTTTGTTCCTTCAAGGATCTGAATTGAATGTTGGAATTCCCAATCTTCCATTTTTTCGATCTAGCTCAAAACATGTAGCTGGCTCAATTTCATCAGGGGTATGTTTTGACAGTCACCTTGGGCTTTTTCAGAGGTACCATATCTAGTACTAAAGTAATCAGTGGGGATTGAACCTGGCAATTTAATGCAATTTAACAGATTGGGAAGTTTCTGCGAGCTCGCTCAACTGCAACGAGCTGGCTCAGCACCATCGAGCTCGCTCAATGCCACGTAGCTGGCTCAGGGGCATCGAGCTAGCTCAATGGCATCGAGCTGGCTCAATTTTTTTAGCGGAAAAAAAAAAAAAAACCTCGCAGAAATTGAGCCAGCTACGTCACGTTGAGCTGGCGGACGAATGTGAGAGCATCAAAACGAATACTAGCTATGTATTGGCCGGGTTCATGACGCATTGGCGAGCCGGCTCAAGGGCATGTAGCCGGCTCAATTTCTGCGAGGTTTTTTTTTCTTTTTTTTTTTCGCTAAAAAAATTGAGCCAGCTACGTGGCGCTGAGCCAGCTACGAGGCGCTGAGCCAGCTACGTGGCATTGAGCCAGCTACGTGGCACTGAGCCAGCTACGTGGCACTGAGCCAGCAAGGTAGCTTTGAGCTTTGAGCTAGCAAGGAGGCAGTGAGCCAGCAAGGTAGCTTTGAGCTTCATCATCATCATATATATATATATATACACCTATGCAATCCCAACCATGTAATATACTAGATCTAGGGAAAAGCAATTTTTTTGAGGGAGACACGTACCTTTGAGCTGGAGCGGGAATGTGAAATCTAACATTCGACTGAAAGGCAACCCATAGCCGCTATAGCCGCTATAGCCCTCGATCAAATCCATTCGCTCACCGCAGCGCATCGATGTTTCACCCGGCTCCGCATGGCTCCGCGCCAATGGCGCAGGGCGGCCTTGGGTCACAGCTGGAAGAGTCACCAGATGTTGAAGTGTTATTGTTTGGTTATTAGTTTTTAGTTCAACATGTAGTTACTATGTTTGTTGAATTAACTATTGTTATTGGTTTGTAGTTGAAGGATCTTTATTACTATATATTTTAATGGGTTTTGTGATGCCCATCGAGTGTTCGGGGCCTGATAAATCGAAAAGATGAACCACGAAAGTCACGAAAGCGACGTACCACCGCATAGCGAGTTGTGACTGTCAGTGGCACCTGGTCTCACGTCCGACTGGACGCATGAAAGAAAGGTTGGGAGAGGGGGAAACCCATCAGGTGTCGGGACGTGTTGATAGTCGACCCCTTGATGGACTGAATGGCTGAATGGTGGGCTACCAGCAGTTCTTATAGTTAGTTGAATGAAAAGCCCCAAGGAGTGGCGAGTACATGTCAACATGCTTGATTTAGAACCCCCTGAGTAAGAACCTCCTTCTTTTCTGGGGTTTCATGGCATCCGCAGTAGAAGTTGATCGCTTAGTATGGGTGAGGGCCCCATACTCAGCGAGGGTCGATGATCCAGGGTTGTTCTCCAGGTTCCAGTGACAGCCTTACGTGTAGATTGTGTAGATTTCTTTGTCAGCATGTACCTTCGTTGTCCCTAATAGGCCCTATAGTCTAGTCCTTACAGCATTTTTTAGTTTGTCATGATCAAATTGGGTCGACTGGGGTGTTCACCCCATCTAGTGGCATTAATTAAGACATCGTTCTAATAGCACTATCACATACTATCAAGTGGGTCAAGTGGGATGTGTGTTCCATCTATGTCGCAGCAACTATTGCAGCCAGGCTCCTTTGCAAGCAGTTTGGAGACGTGGAAGCCCTTCGCATGGACAAGGACGGTGAGGATGCGCCGCTGATCACCAGCCAGGTAATGAAACATGGCAATGGGAAAACCCATGAGATTCCCCAATAAAAGGAACATGCAATTGGAACATGATCTACAAAGCGGGTGATTTTCCATTGTCATGTTTCATTACCGGAAGGTAGATTAAGAATAGATCACTTGTAAGACTGAAGATGGAGCTGTAGCCACCAGAAATTTGACATCCACACCACACCTCCAACAATTATGTCTTCTATATTCTTGCTGTCAAAATTTGGGGTTCTGTTCCTTTGGGTGGGGAAAACGTAAGTTGAGATTTCGAAGCGACACCTGCTTGGTCACTGCACCTTTTTACTTTGTTCAAAGTTTGATCCATGGATGATAATCGTTCTGCGGAGCTCAGCGGTGGAAGGTTGAACTTCTTTGTGATACATATGCGGCACCTCACTAGTATGCATACATGGCTACAAGGACGCAGATGTATTAATGTAACTAATATGTGGATGAATGTGGATTTGAATCATGAGGATATATATATATATACCATGCATAACAAGCAATTACAGTATATGTATAATTATAATCGTAATTTGTTTGCGTCAAATTGCAAAGCAAGCACGTGTGCATTGTTAAAGTGTGAGTTCGCATGTGTTCTGGATGTTTGGCCAATCTCCAACTTACACATGGATCTAGAAATAGATCGCAAGGACAATGACGGGGAATGCTTTGCCCTGGTGGAGTTCAAAGAACGAGGCGAGGACTTGAGGACCTGTGCATCCTTGGGAAGGTGACCCCCCAAAAAAAGATGGGAAGAACTTCCCCAGTTTCGATAATTAAAGGTAAAAAGCTGGTAAACCCAAAAATGAACCATTCCCAATGAACTACCGTAATAAATTGGTTGTATAAAATGTTCCAATTTGAAGCTTTATTTTTGGCTTCACCAAAAAAACTGTATATCTTCCTGCAAAACCACTATGATAAAACCATTAGAAGTGCCACGAGCGGCGTTTTTAGAGAGAGTATTCTCACTCGTCTTTTCACCAATGAACTGGTTACTGGTTTCCAGATGTTCATCTATGTCGAACTGTTCATTTTCCATCCCAAGGCGTTATTTATAACATCAAGTGATTCAGAAGTGTGTTCGATGTGTTGAAAGCACCCACCAATGTCAGTTCCAAGCGTGTAGGTCTTACCATTACATGTTGTTCATCGTCATTACATGCCTCCTTCTCCTGAGCCTAATGTTGATCCCAATCATCATTGTCATCCTCATTGCCATGTTTGGTTGTCGTCGTCATCATAATGAATGATACTGGTAGTATATATATATATACATTGGTAATCATCACCTATCACATCTTATTGTGATCACATGTGTGATTGTTACATATCAGTACATGTTTATTACCAGAAATATCCAAATCAAACATAATCATCACCAATTGTTTCACTCCCCATGTTTGTTGTTTTTATTGGTTAAATCACCATTTATCATCCGAACTTTCCCAGTTAAATCACCAACTTTGCAGGTTAAATCATCATGTTTCTTGGTTAATTTACGATGATTACATCAATTACATCAGGAATGTCAGATTCCATCCGATAAGTCTCAAAATTCTCAAGGCTCCGCGCAAGTGGTGAAGCGGCAGTATCTTGGACGACCGAGAAAAACAACAAAACATGGGAATTGATGTAAATATCTCTATGTCAACCAGCAAAGATGGTGATTGAACCAACAAAGTTGGTGATTTAACTGGGAAAGTTCGGATGATACATGGTGATTTAACCAGCAAAAAAGCAACAAACATGGTGATTGAACCAACAATCATGGGGAGTGAAACAACAAGCAACTTTTGGTTTTGCCGAACATTGGGGTATACAGTACCTCTTTTCTTTCCACGTTGGCAAAATGATTTTAATCCACTGGACTTTGACCAACAACGGGGAGTGAAACAACAGACATGGATTTAGTCATCAAAGTCATGGGTTTAGCCAATAACACATATGGGCTATGAGTTTTACAATGGTAAAACAAATCAAATGACATCTTGATTGAGAAAGTGACAATATTTCATCAACATTTGAGGGACCTTATTTTCAGACAAACCAATATTTCATACGTAAACCTTGAGCAATATATTCTCTGGTGGCGAATGGAGAAAGCTGTTGGGAGCTTCGGTTGTAGCAATGGACCAAGTTACTGCGGTGTTTGCATGGGTTCTGTGGGTGGCCTAGAGCCTGTTTGGACACTGCCAACGGAGGGAGAAGTACCTGGTGGAAGAGCGTGTGATCATCTTTACCGAGGTCCTGGTCGCCGGTGTTTAAGGGGCGGTTGTACATTTGGCAAACGGTTGCGATTTCGTGCACTCACACGTAAATCTCTATATATATATATACATAATAAACGTAACTATGCATAGTAGATTATTAATATGTATATATGTGTTTATCTAACACACACACATATATATATAATATATTAGATAATTAGATACATGTTGTGTATATATATATATATTTACATATTTGTATATACTTTGAAAACAAGATCCACTGATAGATCGATAGATAGATTTGATACCCAGTTGACAGGCCAAGACCATGGTGGACACCACGTCCTTTGCCGAGCAAAGTGGGGACCCAAAAAGGGGCATGGCACGGTGGCACGGCAGACAGGTCAACCATGGTCAACTGTCACAGCCAACTTCCTGGGAGAAAATCGCAGGAAACCATCTATCAATGGGAATTTCAGGATCCTAACATGGAGGTACTGTACCATATAAGGCCATATTTTGTGGGGATATTCCCTTATATAGGCCTTATATATGGTAGGTACCTCCAATTTAGGATCCTGGAATGGCCATTGATATGAAGGGCACTTCATGGGGATTTACTCTACTGTAAACTACCATAGATGTGGAAAAGCCACCATGTAGACCATTTTCCGACGGGGAAACCAGTGGCTTTCCACATCTCTGTTGGTTTACCAAGTTTTTTTGAAAAAAAAAGCGGCACACTGTCAGAGTGTGGGGTCGCCCCGCAGGGGAAATCATCTATGAGGGGGCTTGATATAATCCAAAAATATCTATAGTAATTCCCCAAAAGATGGGATAGAATGGTAATTAATTACCTCATACGTTCAGGTTTCCACCATTTCTATCTGTTTTTTAGGTTGCTATATGTCAATAGTAGCAACTGAGGAACCATCAAATTTGGTACTGTATGATTCAAAAGAATAGATCCCAAGCTTTAGATGGTTGAACAAGCATGCAGTTTTGTGGATACTTTGGTGGTGCCCAAAATTCGAGGTATAGACAAATTGGAGCATAATTAGCCCTGGATCTTAAATTGATAACTAAGAAAAACACCGCAAGCTCCCATTGTTTTTGGCATATCATTGTCAATTTTGCAGGCGTTACATGAATTTTGATCGGGTTTCTAGTGCTCTTCAAGGTGATGGGATCAAATAGTTGCTAGAAGCTAGACGTGTTTGTTGATGTTTCCGTGCGGCACACAAAAAGCTTCTTGACACAAGTGCAACATAGTTCAACTATATGCTAATTGAATCTAATTGAAGTGCTAAGCCGCTAAGCTAATTCACTGCTTCTAGCTGAATTCAGTGCCTCTTTAACACATTGGATGTGGTAAAATTCTCAGAAGCCCGGCTCGCCTGGCAGCCTCCGAGGCGTGCAGTTCAACCAGCCCGCCTTTGATCAGAAGACCATGAAGGCAGCCATGAGTTGATCAAAAAGATGTAAGCAGCAACGAATTGGTATATAATATATCAAGGTATATATATATATATACATATATATATATATGTATAGATATGTTACATATACAGTTCCATACATGCCTACCTACATACATTACATTACATTCCATTGCATTGCATTGCATTACATTGCAAACCTATGATTATATTACATAACAAACATACATACATTCATGCATGCATGCATGCATGGATTAATTCATTCATTCATTCATTCAATCAATCATTCATTCATTCATTCAATCAATCAATCAATCAATCAATCAATTCATTCCATTCATTCCATTCATTCCATTCATTCCATTCATTCCATTCCTTCCATTCCTTCCATTCCTTCCATTCCTTCCATTCCTTCCTTCCATCCATCCATCCATTCATTTATTCATTCATTCATGCATACATATATATATATATATCAATGATATCACCCATGGAACTGATGGATGGCTTCGTTCATCTCGTTCGATTTTCTATCCCTGGATGAAGCCAATCCCTGGGATGGGCGCCACCAGGGCTTCCCTCCGCGCCGAGGTAGTGCTTGCGTACCAGCTGGTTGCTCAGAACCAGGATATATAGGGGGTTCCGTAAATGGGGGTACCCGGTACCCCAAAATGGATGTTTTATAAGGGAAAATCCTACTAAAATGGATGATTTGGGGGTACCCCCATTTCAGGAAACCCCTGTATAATATGATGATCTTTGCTGGAAACCCCACAGGCTGAAAAAACATCTTTAAATGCGTCAGCGTGTTACATAAGTGGAGTTTCTTTGGGAATCGTTCGCACCCTACCCTCAACTTCCAAAGGGCTTTGGTGATGTTTCTTCCCAATGTATATGATGTGCAGTGAAGGGGGACATGACAGGAACCGCTTGTTAACACCAGTCAGGGTCAGAGATTGCTCACTACAAACAGGGGCGCAAGAGGCCACATGGTCCAATTTGGTCCATTTTAGGTCTTCAAAAAACATGGGTTGCCCAGCCTACTCAACAAACATGTGTTTGGATTCCTACGGTGATGATGCCATGGCAATCTCTGACCGTTCCCGTGGCAATCTTTGGGCCCAAGTCATTTGAGTGGCGGCAGTTTGAGACCCCACGCTGAAGTTGCATAGCGCCCTGAGGTGAGGAGAATGGTGGTGGGTGAACTGAAAGATACTGAAAGTACTCATGAAAATTGATGAACATTGACATTTTGGATGGAGGAGTTTGTTTCTACTCAATCTCATTACCCAACATCAACCAACTTAGCCAACGAACTCGGGCATCACTTTGCTGTGGCAGGTCTTCCTTGTGCAAGAGCACAAGGGTCGCCAATGGGCGAACCAGTGGATGCACTGTGAAGGACTCAGAAAATGGATGAACATGGTGGAAGCCTTCTCTTGGCAATTTTACGGGGATATGATGATCATTTATTGGGATCTAAATTATGAAGCACAAAGTTGATAGCATCATGATGACCCACTAATGTGTGGGTCTGAACATCTTGGTGTGATCGCGGAGGTTAAGATCACAAGGTGAGGCCCCCCGAACGATAGCGAAATTGACTTTCAACTTGGTTAATGTTTGGGTTGATTAGGGGGATATTAAACATGATATAACATGATATAACTAATTATAGTCAATGGGTTTACCAACTGATAACTGGGGGAGCCTCACCTTCATCACATAAATCGTCGACTGAGGTCATCCATCGTGGCGGGCCCTGTTTTGGAGGCGGTTTTTGCGTCCTAAAGGGTGTCCATCATGAAGTTCATCATGACAGGTTTTATCATGCTTTATAATCATCATGTTCGACATTCATTTGAGTGACAAATGTGACAAAATGTCATTCCAAAGCACTGTTCTTCATGGAGTTTGTTTGCCTCATCATCACCATCATCACCATCAACATCCCATATCCATCCATATCCTGCATATCAACTCATCTCACCTCTCCATCTCCTCAACTCATCATATTAGTACTGATAATGATAACGGTGAGGGTGCACAAAACAAACACATTGACCTTGATAATGTTGATCACAATAATCATTCTCCACCATCATCCGATATGATATCAATGATATTATATGATATTATACGCTTGAATGATTTGATTATCTTGATTGAATCATGTTTAACAGTTTAACCATGTTTAACTTAAAATCATCATTTCTGATCCATAAGATCCCTTTGTTTTTTTTAATCAACGTGAATCACCCACAGTCATCCTCCTCATCGTCCAGGCGGTGCTTCACGCCTGCCCTCCCAGCTCCTTCGCCGCTGTGCGGGGCGCCTCGTTGCAGACGCGCCTCGTGGCGGACCAGCAGGGCGCCCCAGGTCCCTACGGTGTACCACTACTTACCACTTTAAGCACCATAAAAATCCATAGAAGATCATATAGAAGTGGATTTGAAGATATATAGAACATGGATTTTGAAGAACATGGATTTGGGATTGAACAGTTTTTTTGGGATGTGGTTCTGTCATTCTGAAGTGGGATTTTTAATGCCAAAGATGGGGATTTTTCAAGTGATTAAAGCCCCGAAATAGCTTGGGATGGCGCTACATTCAGTTACTCATCGATGATCTCCGCACGGCCAAACGTGTTTCTTTGTAGTCCTACCTTGGTTAATGTTGGTCATTTATTTTTTTAGTTTTAGTACTTAACTTAGCAACAGTAGGTTCTTGATGGTTCTTGAGCGTACTAATTACAACTGCAGTAGTTCAATGAAGCAACACTTAGTCATTTCCCGAGACGACCGTTCCAAAATCCGATGCTTCTTCATACCTGTCCCGCTATTTAATTGCTATTGTGAGGCAAAATCAATCTGCATGTTTTTTGGTTGGCACCAAATGGTGGGTTGACCAAATGGGAGGAACCCACATTGCCAGTCAGCATCATATTTCAGAGTTGTTCGCAATATATAGGGCCTCAATTTGCTCGGAAAAGGGGTCTTTCTGCATTGTTTGAACAATTTTTGCTGGGGCAACTAAGATTTAGCTTATGCGAACTGTAAAAGTCCAATGTTCATGCATCAACTAAGGGTCAAGTTTGTAGATAGAAAAATCACAGATTGGTAAACATTAAACCCAATGAACCATCCCCAGAACCATAAATGGCTTGTTTTACCATCCCCAGTCATGGTACCGTAGGTTCATGGCAGTTTCCAATATGATTAGCATAAATCAACAACACTAATAGTCGGTTCATCAAATAACGCACCCCAAAAAGTAGGTTTCTTATGGTTTCTTCACAATATCATAGTACTTACCCTCCAGTAAATTAACATAGACCCTGGTAGATAGGGGTTGGAAGATTAGTTTCCTCTAAAAATGGGTGATTTTCAGGGTCTATGTTAATTTCCCAGAGGGTATAGTAACTAGATATCTCTAGCACAATGCCCCAGGAAACTGGCGCTTTCCCAAGGTTGAACCAGATGTCCCCCCGATGGCCCCTGCGGTTGCTGATCCGCTCGGACCACTTTGTGCGGAGACATGGCGCGCCTTGGGGCGTCACTTTCGGGGGTTCCGGAACTCATCTCCCGGGACTTACCCTCTGGTTATGTCAAAATAGCTACTTGAAAATGGCCATTTATAGTGGATTTTCCCATAAAAAATGGTGATTTTCCATAGTTATGTAACAGTTTACCAGAGGGTACATGGTAAATCATGTTGTCAATGGCCTTGATATGTTTTAACCATGAAAGGTATGTGATATGTGATGTGATCCATCTTTTTGGCATGTGCATGTTGCCATCCTAGACATTCACAAGATGGTGTTTTAACATGTTTTTTGTTACCATCAATAATGGAATCATATGAATATGAACCATGAATAGATTATGACAATTGGGGGCTTAAAGTATTTGTTGACCATCCTGAAAACGGCATTGCGGCAGTTTAGATAGATTAGATTAGATTAGATTATACTAGATTAAGATTAGATTAGATAGATAGATAGATGGATAGCCAAGATAAGATTAAGTCTAGGGCTTAGGGGACTCCCGAATGAAGAGTTATTTCACCGTTTCAATTTGGGATGATTTTTGATGATTACTGTAGGATTTGCCCGTGAATCAGTTAAACAGTTTGACTCCAGCTTTGAATGCACGCAAAGCAACTGCTAGCAACGGGAACTTCCCTCTGTCGATGCATTCTATTTTGCTTGGTGATATCTCGCCAAAGGATCGACGCTTCCCTTTGTCATGTAGCTATATAACCCAGCCAAGTTTTGTTCGTGCACAACGTCGCAAAGTTACCAAAAAAGAATAGTGCCCTATACAAGTACTACCTGCAAAGCTGGTTGTAATTCCAGTTGAGTTGAATCCCAAATTAAAACCAAAGCCTGTGGTCGAGCCCACTTAACACCAGCCAAACCCAATTATAGATACTTATAGCATCTTATAGCAACCTCCAGAAAGGATAGAACAGTGTTTCCGGGATGGTAGTTCGATTTGGTTCCAATTTTACCCGGGTTCTCTGAGGCGTGTAGAATTGATTTCCGTTTGGTAACATAGCTATGGCACATCAACATGCTTAATAGGTAAATCTTCGCACTAAATGGGCCATGGCTTCCATAGCTACGTAACAAATTACCAGAGGATATATTATATCATGTTATATCCCCATGTGTCCAATGATACCCATCAACAATATCCTTATTGTACATGTATTGTACATATCACCATTCCCCATTTCAGATGGTTAAACCGTTGAAACCCCCGTTGTCGCCAGAAGAGATGCCTCCGGAGTTCGTTCTGCACTTCAATGTTGGAAGCTGCCGGGCGTTCGCAAGTTCCATGGGATCCAAGGGCAACCAGGTGCGGGCGAAGGTACTTAGAGGGGCAATGAAGTTCGTTGAGTTGTGCGAGTTACTGAGAGCTGCGCATGAGCCATTATGTTATACAATATCATCACAGCCCTATAATCCACTATAGCCAATTTTGTTGGGTGAAAACCATTAACTCCATGGCTCATCTAATGAATTGGGCCACTGATGTTTTTTTTGTTGTTGTCTGCGTCCCTTATCTGGGACGAAAGCTGACACGGTGATCCTCGCTCGAAGCCCGCAAAGATTGACATGCCCAAACAAAAATAATGACCACAGGTAACGGTGAACATGGGTTTGTTTGAAAATAGGGCAACCCTTCGTTTTAATGATTTAAACTGGATCACAATTTTCCTTCATTTTCATTCATTTTCCCATATTTAATTTGCATCTCAAAATGGCCAGAAACGCCCCGATTTCTGGGTCCAAATCTCGCAACGTGGGCGAAACGACCAGGACGAGGAAATTCATCTCCCACGAGATCTGGCAGAGGTGGGGGTCGGTTGGGGTTGAGGGGCTGGGTTTGGCTTTACCCTCTGGTTTAGTGACTAAGAGTTTGCCATGGAAAATGGCCCATTTTAATATAGGTAAACCGGTAAACCATCTATTTCTATGGGCCATCTATAGCATGGCTATGTCATAACCAGAGGGTAAATGTCTAAATGGGAAATCATCGAACTACATGGCGCATTCTCCAGCCATTTTGATGACCGGAGATGGCAATCACCTCAATATATAATGATCCGAATGATGACACCAAGACCCATTATGAATGTTGGATGTCCCGAAATTGGAAACAACAACAGCATTTTCAGTATTTTTATACAATTGACAAATTACGGATGTTCTTTCTGTACGTGCTAACCTGCAGAATGCCTCAACCGTTGATGTCGATATGGAATTTTCCATCCAAATCCTAGGAGATGGCAATGGATATCTCCCATTGTTTTCCTATTCAAAACCTCCATTTATAGTGGATTTCCAATTGCTATGATTAGTGGAGGGTAGGCAAATGTTACGGGCACCCAATCACTTGACCCACGCCCAAATCCATTTCTTGAGGACTCTGGCGCAGGTAGTCCCAAATGTTGAAATCGGTCATGGGACTCGGAGTTGGGAAAACATCCGGAAAAAACATCAATTCTAGGCCCATGCTGGCAAATAATATCATTCCTGTTGGCCACTTGGGATTGTGAAGTGAATACATGTGCGCTCAACCGGAATTCCTAGTGCTACCCTCAGTTCAAATTAGTGCACCTTTTTTTAGTTGCCTTCCATCTCTGTTGGCTTTTTCCATATTTTTTCCCTATCTGGAACCCAAAAGAAATGTTTGAAATGTTGGTGCACTGTTTCATTCCAAGAAAGGGCTAGGAATGTATAGAACAAGCATACGCCGGGATAATGATGATGATGATGATGATGATGATGATGTCCATTGATTAATACGTTTAGTGGGCTTGAAACCACCAACCAGACACCCTATGGCTCTATGGACAACAAGCATGGCAATGGGAAATGTTAGTTCGATGATGTTCCCATTAATACTGAAGGGTGTATGTTTTTCATGGCACAACATTTGACTGCAGGAATTCATCCGTTCCTTGGTGGCATCGGCTGTTCCGAATCGGCGATCATTGAAAATCTACAGCGACCCTTTTGAAGGGAAAACAACAAAGGGGGAAATACTGATGTTTTGTGTTCTTTTAACTGAAGATCAAACGTTGTTTTTCTCCGCAGATCGCAGTATGTCGTTGAGATATTTACATTTGTGATGGAGACAACCAGAAAAAAGAGCAGAAACCCCAACCATGGTCTCATAGACAGATTGTTATACCCTCCGTTCGTCAAACATGTCGATGGACAACTCCCCATTTACTTCGATGATTTTCCCACTGACATGCCCGTAAATATACATACTTAGTGCGGGAATTTCCCTGTTAACCTACGGTAGTTACCCTACATTTTGGGTTCGACATTCACCTTGAAATGGTTCAGAAAAGATGCAGATGTCATACATGTCATACATGTCCGCCTTGCTCCTGCCGGGTCGAGGTAAGTTGGGGTCAATGCACCGCACTTACGGAGAAGCATGCACGTTCCTAGGCCGGCTGAAAGCTATTTCCTTCCCGTTGGTTTCCCCCATGATCCCCCATACCCGTGACTCCGTGACCTGGTTTAGTCGGCTAGGACCTGGTTTCTGGGTGTCTAATCTGACGGGGAATCAACAAGGAGTAAGTTATAGTCCTTGATTTCGTTGTGTTTTCTCTCTTCTTCCTTATTTTATTTCCTGTTTTCCTTACTTTCTTGTCTCCATCCTTGTTTTATATGTTTATCTTGTTTCTCTTTGTTTCCTACGTCCTTACCACATCACTTCCCCACTTCCTTCCTTAATTACTTCCTTTCTGACCACCTTAGCTGGTTTGTTTTCCTCACTTTCCTACTTGCACACTCTTAGTAGCTCTTCTGCGAGGGGAGCACACGTGCAAGTATCATTTTTTGGCCATAAGAGCTCCAGGGAAGATGGTCGGTCTCGTGCTGGCTGATTTAAACGCCTTGAACTTCAATCTATGAGAACCTTTCTTGGGGGTTAGCCTTAAAAAATCTTTAAACTCCATTTGGGGAATACGATCACATTACTAGTCAACTCCCCAAATCCCCCATGGATACCATGGTGAAATACGAAAATCGGCGGATCAATCCATCAAATCAGCTAAAATCATTAATATTGTATAATATATCTCTCTATGGGAAAAAAGATCAACCACCTTGGACTGCGCCGCCCGTAGCGCCAAGACTTTGGACGCTTCCAAAGCTTCGCAGAAGAGCGACCCTGCGACAGGAGATGACGGTTCAGGACTGGAACGGCAGGGTCGGCATCCAAAAAGATGTGTGTCCAATGGAACATGGGGATCTCGCCATCCAAAAATAGGGGTTCAACATGGTTCAATCATAGGACATGCAGATTGAAAAGCATCAAACACGCAGATTTCAGCAGCCAAAAGGATGGATTTATCTTTCAAGCATTGGGATTAAACATGAGATATAGACCTGCATAGACCATTGCGATTTATTTGTCAACAAATGGACTCTTAATTACCACGGGATATTGTGAATGTGTTAGATTGTATGGTGTGCTTTAACAATCTGAAACTCATAATGACATATCATTTCATGATAAACGCGTATGAACACCATATATATAGAGAGAGAGATAGACAGATGATGTATGAGCAACATATGAAGTGGTTGGTTCCCATCGTGCCCGAAATTGTGTTATTTGGGAGGCTATAGCCATGATTACATCATGGGTGATGCTGCTGACGGAGTGTCAGCCAGGAATATCAATGGAGCAGCATGCAGGCAAGCGCCCTTGTATCATCCAAGCCAGTGTCTCATGGGGAAAGACTAAGACTACTGACTTGGCTGTGGCTGACATGTGGATTTTTAGTCTACTGGGACATGAAAATCAGAGCTTACACTTCGATGAGATCCCTGCGATTCACGCAAGCCATTGATCCATTGTCTCTTTAGTATTCTTATTAGTGGTTTTCGACATCAGTGGTATTCCACCAGGGAAGGTATACTTCCCTTCCGGCCTTCCGGCCTTCCGGCCTTCCGGTCATCGCTGGGATAAGGTGGGGAAAATCCACCATATTTACCCCATGGATTTCCCCTGGCGCCAGATCCCTAGGAGGTGATTCGCATCGAGTTACTACCGGGCTAGCGTTGATGGATTGATGGGGTCTATAAACCAATATACCCTCTGGTAAACTAACATAGCTATGGAAAATCACAATTTTTAATGGGAAAATTCACTATGCATGATGACTTTCCATAGTTATGTTAAATTACCAGAGGGTAACTGGGGATTCTCCATTCAAACTCACCTCCCCCCCAGAAACTATGGTGGATGTGGGGAATGAAAGCACAAAAAAAAGGGGCTGGTCGCTGTCTATTACTGTAGTGTTTGGGACCATTTATAGTATTGTGGTGTGTCTAAAAATAAGGTATCCCTAAATCCATTGGATAATATCGTCATCCCTATCAAAATGGGTATATTTTGGCGATTTACAATGATTTACATGGGTTTACCCCTTTTCAGACAGCCCCATATAATCCCATCCCTCTAATACTAAACACCCCCTAAATGGTTCCAATTATGTGGACATTCCCTACTAAACCATGGTTTCGTTTAGGGGGTGTTTCATGTTAGGCGGATGGGTTTAATGGATCATGATCATAAGGGATTCCAACATGGAATTATGTTTCAAATCATGATACCCATATAGTTATAGTATGTTATAGTTATTTCATCCCATCCAATCACCATGGACCATTTGCGAGGTCGCCATGCAATGCGACCCGCGCGCTTCCAGGGAGATGCTGCTGGAGGATGCGCGTCGACAGGTTCATCCCGTGGGAAGTAGTGATGAATGGCGATTATATGGTGACTAACTATGGTTTATGGCAGATATATCAATATAATAGTCTATATATATATATATACACAGTTGAAAATGTAAGTTCATGGG